CCATGTGCTCTCCATTGTTAAACATTTTATATAATCCAGAGCTCCCAGATAGTCTTTCATACCCACAGATGAACCCTTGGGCAATCAATGGGATATTCCAACTCTGTCATCTGATCAAACCTGTCTCATGCAGGCTTCGGTCATTTGAGGAGATTAGAGCGTGGAAACCCACAATACCTGTATTGGCTAGATACACCTATCTACAATTCCGTCACTTCTTCCACTCCTTGGAAGCTTCTTTAACGCTAGTCCACCCTATAAATTTTGAGAGTATAGTTATTAAAGGTCCCTGCCAACAACATCTTATCACCTCTCTCTATAAACTGCTCCACAATAAGGACTCCCTTGTTGAGAGGCCTCACCGTTATATGAAGAGATGGGAGGATGAACTCCAATGCTCGATTGCTTTGAAGTGTTGGCAAGCGACATGGGACTCTGCTGCTAAGACCTCTCGTTGTGTTGTGTATAAAGAAAACCTATATAATATACTGATGCATTGGTAGAAGACCCCTGTAGTACTACATGCAATTAGCCCAAATCTGTCTGACAAGTGTTGGAGATGCATGGAAGGAGTAGGTAGATTGCCACACATTTTCTGGTTTTGTCCACAGATTTCGGGCTATTGGGCTATGGTCAGAACAGTATTGGAACAAGTACTCAGTGTTATCCTACCCCTAGATCCTTTACACTATCTTTTGGGGTTGCCCTTTAGGGGCATCCCCAAGCAATGTAAATGGTTGGGAGTGCATATTTTGACAGCCACTAGAAGGGTGATACCATGACTCTGGAAATCAGTAGATGTTCTCATGCTAAATCATATTTTAAGAGTGATCACTGAAATCAGGGAATGGAATATCTCACAGCTCTAGTGGGTGAACACTCAGGTCACTTTCACTCTATTTGGGATTTATGGAACCATTCTCCATTTGGTAGACTTCCTTCCTCTCCCCCCCCCCCCCCCCCCCCCTCATATAGTCCAGACACTTATTCAGGTAACATGCATTTACTGAATAATGAAATCCAATGACGTGCAGGTTCATGTAGATCTATGTTGTATTTTTTGAATTGTGCAGACTACCATGCTGTTTATTTCTGTTCAGATTTCTCTTGATTCTGTTTTCTTTCATATCAATGCTCTTGTTGCAACATTTACACTTAAAGTGTTATTGTTGTACTTATGTTTTGTTCTTAAAAAAAAGGCGCATTGGCCCTTAATAAAATTTTACAATATTAAAAAAAAACATAAAATCTGTTCTTTTTCATTTTTGCTTTTGGTCTTGGTGACAACAGAAAGTGATGAGACATTGTTAGATATTTTGTATATAGCCCTACAGAACAGACAGTGCATAGTCCTCATGTGCTCTGCAAACAAAAAACAGGAACTTTATTATAGAGAAAAGACATAGAGTTTAACCATAGATGCAACTAAAAATACTGCCATCTACTGGTGGAAGAATATATCCCTACTGAATACGGATACTGATGTAGTTGTATAAAAATACATGAATATTGTATTCCAAAAGAAATCTAAAAAAATAACAGTTGTCACTGGATTAAAAGATGAGGGGGAAATTTACTAATGGGGAGAATTATCCTAGTGACAGGTGTTATAGGTGAGGATTTTCCCTCACTTTGACCCACTTTTAATCATTTATGGTGGTGTTTTTGGAAGGGTAAGTAAAGGGAAATGTCATTAATAAGACACAAACAATGACAAAAAAAAAGAGAGAGGGGCCATTTTATACTCTATCCAAAGCTGAAGTGATAGTAATGCCAAAAGCACATATTTCTTATATTACAGCTTGCCATGGGCTTGATTTACTAAAACTGGAGAGTGCAACATCTGGTGCAGTGCTGCATAGAAACCAATCAGCTTCCAGTTATTTTGTCAAAACTTTATTGAACAAGCTGAAGTTAGAAGCGGATTGGTCACCGTGCGCAGCTGCAACAGATGTTGCACTCTCCAGTTTTAGTATATCTACCCCTATGTCTTATATGTGATAGCTATATTCATTTTCTTTTTTTAGGTTTTCTTTCTTCTATTTTCATCTGGTAAATTTGGCCAGTCTGTTGTTTTTCAAAAGTACCTCCTGCAGATTATCAGTTACATGGATGAGACCAACCATTTGACGATGACAGGGGGTTCTTAAAATGATCAGCTTTTATTTACTTATGTAAAACTTTTATCTCAAAAGGTAAAAAGCTGTTTCCTGTAACTAATGAGTGTGATCTGGAGTTTGGCTTCAAATTGTTATTGTATTTATGTCTGCTAGTAATCTAACACTTCCCTCCAGACTGACAATGCCACTGTCCAAAAGTGCGCCTTCATCCAGAGTGGGGGCACTCTAATACAGGAGGTGTTTTATTGGCCAGCTCACCAGGTAAAAAAAGAGTGTGGAAAAAAGCCTAACAAAAAATAAAACTAATGCATCCACCACATCTAATGATTGATAGGTTGCAATATATTACATTTGAGGTTTAATACTGCTTTAACTCTTTCACGCCTGCGCCTCCCGACCTTTTAAGGGGTTTCTGACACCGGGAGGCGGGGCGGGGTTTAGGGTCATGTGACCACCTGATAGGCTGTCATGTCACTCACATGATTGGAAAGGTCCCAATCGCAAGTAGAGAATGGACCTTTCCTGTGGGACGCCGACTCATGTGCTGGGAGCATGCAGGGCACGCACTCTCAGCACGTTTGTTTACAAATGGTACACAAATATGCGGCTACTCAGCTTCAAGGCCTAGCCGCATATTTGCGTACTGTCGGCGTGACAAGTTAAAGAAAACATTTTTACTTTAAATACACTTTAAGGAAAATAACTGTGCAGACCACACTAACCCGCAAGAATCCAGCAATAAGTAACTTTCTTAAAGTGAAACTTTAATCAGAAAATTAAGTCCTGACAGATCACTTCATGCTGGCTCCTTTTGCAGACATAGCTACTGTATGTAAAACATTAAAAATACAGTAAGTGCCTATACTCAGGGGAATAGCAGCGTCCCGGATCCTATACTGTGCCCTCCTGATTTACCCCCTTCCTGACCAGGCCATTTTTTGCATTACGGCGCTGAGTTACTTTAACTGACAATCGCGCAGTCATGCAACGCTGCATCCAAATTACATTTATGTCCTTTTTCCCCATGAATATAGCTTTGTTTTGGTGGTATTTGATCGCTGTGTGTTTTTTTATTTTTTGCGCTATAAAAAAAAATAAAATTACAATTTTGAGAAAAAACTGTATTTTTGACATTTTGCTATTAAACATGTCCAGTAAAAAAATGTAAAAAATCAAATTTTGTCATAAATTTAGGCCAAAATGTATTCTGCTACATGTCTTTGCTAAAAAAAATCCCAATACATCCCAATACATGTAAATTAATTGGTGTACGTGAAAGTTATAGCATTTACAAATGGATATACTGGGATTTTTTTCTTATTTTTACTAGTAATTTTTTTCCTTACAAATAGAGCTTTCTTTTGGTGGTATTTGGTCACCTCTGCAGTTTTTAAAAAAAGACTGTCAATTTTTGAAAAAAAAAAAACAATATTTTTGACTTTTTGCTATAAAACATATCTAGCAAAAAAATGTTAAAATAAAATTTCTTCATAAATTTAGGCCAAAATGTATTCTTCTACGTCTTTGCTACAAAAAATCCCAAAACATGTAAATTAATTGGTTTATGAGAAAGTTATAGCATCTACAAATGGTGGTATATATACTGGAATTTTTATTTATTTATTTTTTACTAGTAATGATGAAGATCAGCGACTTATAGTGTGACTGAAGCGAGCATTCTGACACTGGGGGGAACTGAATTGGTGTCACTGACATCCCCAGTGACACCAATACAGTGATCAGTTCTAATAAAAACCACTGTCACTGTACTAATGGCACTGAGCTGGAAGCGGTTAACATGTGGTGCAAAAGGGTTTTACTAGGGGCTGTGTCTGTGTGCTTTACTGTAAGCAGGAGCTGACGGGGAGAGAACTCTTTAGTCCACCCCCACCCCCCATCAGAGATGCATGGAAATCACCGGGCGCCTGCAAGTAATCACTGGCCGGGACCTGGTGATTGACAGCCACGGCCACGAATGGCAGTGCGGGTAGGAAGCACCCCCCTACCCGACCCTGTAAAATATATACGTGATTTTGCACACCCCTGCCGCCCTGTGGCAGTATTTCTGCTACAGTGCGGGCGGGAAGTGTTTAATCCACTTCAAGACCAGACTGTGTTCACCCCCTTCCTGCTTAGACTATTTTTCAGTTTTTAGAGCTTTCACACTTTAAATGACAATACGACATGCAACACTGTACCCAAATAGATTTTATAACATTCTTTTAGATAGAGCTTTCTATTGTGGTATTTAACCATCACTTCTTGTCTTTTACTTTCAACTATATAAAGGAAAAAAGACAGAACATCTTTTTTAAAAAAAACGATTTTCCTAGTTTTTGTTATAACATTTTGTAAACAATCTATCTTCATAAATTTAGGCCTTTGGTAAAAATAACACAAATCAATGTATATTATTTAGTCTGTGTGAAAGTCATAGAGTTTGAAAATTGAACAATCCTAATGTACTGACTGATCTTAATTCTTGAGGCCCTAAAATGCCAGGGCAGTACAGATACCCACCACATGACCTCTTTTTGAAAAGTAGACAGCCCAAATATTAGTAATAGATATGGTGAATTTTGTGAAGTTGTAATTTTTTTTTACAACATTTTTGGAAAATGAAGAAATTAAATAAAATACGTTTTTTGTTTACAACATTGTCATATTAACAAGTTATTTCTCACACACAACATAGGCATACTTAAAGTTACACCCCAAAACATATTCTGCTACTCCTCCTGAGCAGTGGTCTAATTTGGTTTAGTGCTGCCCTAGTCAAAACTGAAATAGGGAGCTCCCCCAATCTAAATTTGTCCCACCGCTTCCTGTTTAAGATCCACCCCTTCATCTGTAAACTGTGCCCATTCCTCTTTAGGCTCCACCTCAGGAGTTGGTCAGAGACTGTGGACAGGATACAGGAGATGGTCAGAGACTGCAGACATACTACAGAGATGGTCAGAGACTGCAGACATACTACAGGAGATGGTCAGACACTGCAGACCTATTACACTATTACTGTATCATGTCTGCAGTCAGAGGACACAGACATAGTACAGGAGACAGTAAGAGACTGCGGACAGGATACAGGAGAAGGTCAGAGACTGCAGACATAGTACAGAAGATGGTCAGAGACTGTGGACAGGATACAGAAGATGGTCAGAGACTGCAGACAGGATACAGAAGATGGACAGAGACTGGCCCCCCCCTGAAAAATGCCGCCCAAGTCAAATGCCTTGTTTGCCTAGCAGCAGATACGCCCCTGTTCCCATGTATAGGAATGCCACATCTGTAAGACTTTTTCAAACACTAGATAGAGGGGTCCAAAATCCAAACAGCATTTTTGAGCTTTCAAGGAGATAAACTATGGGTCTGATTTTTTGATTACTTTCCAACAAAAAAGGGTTGTGATCTGGTGCACAAAAGTGGTGCACCTCCATCCCTATTTCAACAGGACACTACACAATATTTTTTTGCTCATGGGACTTTATATGAAGCACATCATTGAGTAAACAAATATAAACAGAACAATTCTATCATACACTCTCCGGCCACTTTATTTGGTACACCTTGCTAGTAAAAGGTTGGACCCCCTTTTCCCTTCAGAACTGCCTTAATTCTTCATGGCATAGATTCAACAAAGTGTCAACAAGGTGTTGGAAACTTTCCTCAAAGATTGTGGTCCATATTGACACGATAGCAACACGCAGTTGCTGTAGATTTGTCATCTGCACATCCATGATGCGAATCTCCCATTCTACTACATCCCAAAGGTTCTCTATTAGTTTAGTGGCTTTGGAGGCCATTGGAGTACAGTGAACTCATTGTCATGTTAAGAAACCAGTATGAGATGATTTGAGCTTTGTGTTATAGTGCATTATTCTGTTGGAAGTAGCCATGATGGGTAAACTGACACCTTGTGTGGTCTTCTGCTGCTGTAGCCCATCTGCTTCAAGGTTCAACCTGATGTACATTCAGAGATCGTATTCTGCATACCTTGGTTGTAACAAGTAGTGTTTTGAGTTACTATTGCCTTTCTATCATCTTGAACCAGTCTGCCCATTCTGACCTCTGACCTCTGACCTCAACAAAGCATTTTACGCTTACTGGATATTTTCTATTTTTTTAACCATTCTCTGTAAACCCTAGAGATGGTTGTGCATGAAAATCCCAGTAGATCATCAGTTTTTGAAATACTCAGACCAGCCTGTGTGGCACCAACAACCATGCCACGTCCAAAGCCACTTAAATCCCCATTCTGATGAATGGTTTGAACTTGAGCAAGTCATCTTCACCACGTCTAGATGCCTAAATCCATTGAGTTGCTGCCATGTGATTGGCTGATTAGCAATTTGTGTTACTAAGCAATTGAACAGCTGTACCTAGTAAAGTGGCTGGTGAGTGTATATCAATATACTATGTACATAAACCACACATCATGTTTTTTCTAAAAAATAATCACTCTTTATTGTACATCAATTAAAAACCATTAAAACAAATGTATAGCAAAATTATTGCACCAAATACTATGTGGTGTTACCAAATGATTGATGAAATGTAAGCAGGGCACATTGCAAGCCTGATAGTGAGAAATGCATTTCAGCTTGTATTTTGAAGCTCACAGTCCAGCCTGGTGAGTCATCTGCCTCTTGAGTGACCTTTGGTTGCTGCACCTGGAGTGGGCGGAGTAGGCTCACTGTGCTGAGACAGCTGGGTTGCTATGACAACTCACTCTGAGAGGAATGTCAGCATGTCTGTTCTAAACAGGCTTTTTAAACTTGCCATCTTCACTGGCGATTGCCATCTTCAAACGCTTGTAGTTTTAAAAGTATAAATGCTACCGTGAAAAGGTTTATATTGTGACAATCACAAGAAACAGACCTAAATTTTGATATATAGTATGTCTCTGCAATATTAAAAATGAAGGCACAGTCGCAGTTTTAAAAACATCCCTTAAAATGTCAGGTATCTAGAGTGGAGTTTCAATGAAAGTCAATGGGAGGGGTGAGGTGCAAACAAATGGTCATATTGTGAAAACTATCAGGAGTATGTCCTAGCCGTGAACATTTTTATAAAAAGTTGGATAGTTACTTGTGAGCCACTAGGAGTTTTCTTTCTATATATATAAACTCTATTGTTAATTGATATCATACATAAAAAATTATAAAAAAAAAAATATATGTGAAAAAAATATATAAATAATAAAATATTACAAATTAATTACGAATTAATTAATTAATTGCGTGCTAAAATTAGTATTAATTAAATATTAGATCGCCAGGTACTAATCGCACCCTCTCTAGGTGTATAAATATTAATCATAAATGCCAGTAGTGTACCGCGCTCCAATATATTCTACCTTATGTGATATAATGAATTCATAAGTGTACCACCGATAATCAAATAATTACATCAATTAATTATACTTAAATATATGATTTGTGTAAATATATATAAAATAAATTAATTTATCAATGTGAAAAAACAAAAACTATGAATGAAAAATATAAATAAAAAATAAAAAATATTTGCAGTGGGAATGACAGTTCCTTCTGTATAAATGAGATGGTGTTATTATTCAGTCTGGATAGTGTGATGAGTCTGTGTCCACTGCGTGAACCTTTTCTCTCTCTCCTCTCTCCTCAGCACAGCCTTCTCAGTGAGACTTTCTCCACTGGCTGCTTGGCTTAGTCCTCCATATATGGAACATACAGAGAAGGGAAAAGAAACATAGTGTCTTATCCGGGATATCAATTATTTATTTTTTTTATTTTTTTTTTTTTTTTTATTTTATTTTATGTTTATTTTATTTTTTTTTTTTTATTTTATTTTTTTTTTTTTATTTTTTTTTTTTTTTTTATTTTTTTTTTTATTTTTTTTTTTTTAATTTTTTTTTTTATTTTTATTTTTATTTTTATTTTTTTAATTTTATTTTATTTTTTTAATTTTATTTTTATTTTTTAATTTTTTTAATTTTATTTTTTTATTTTAATTTTATTTTTTTTTATTTTTTTATTTTTATTTTTTATTTTATTTTATTTTATTTTTTTTTTTTTTATTTATTTTTTTTATTTTAATTTTTTTTTAATTTTTATTTTAATTTTATTTTTATTTTTATTTTTTTTTTTATTTTATTTTTATTTTTTTTTTATTTTTATTTTATTTTTTATTTTTTTTTTTTTTTAATTTTATTTTATTTTATTTTTTTTTTTTTTTATTTTTTTTATTTTTTTATTTTTATTTTTATCCGGACTGAATAATAATACCATTTTTTTATACAGAAGGAACTTTTTTTCATTCCCACTGCAATTATTTTTTATTTATTTTAATTTTATTTTATTTTATTTTATTTTATTTTTTTTTATTTTATTTTTTTATTTTTTTTTATTTTATTTTATTTTATTTTTTTTTTTATTTTTTTTTTTTTATTTATTTTTATCCAGACTGAATAATAACACCATCTCATTTATACAGAAGGAAACTGTCATTCCCACTGCAAATATTTTTTTTTTTTTTATTTATATTTTTCATTCATAGTTTTTGTTTTTTCACATTTGATAAATTAATTTATTTTTTTATATATTTACACAAATCATATATTTAAGTATAATTAATTGATGTAATTATTTGATTATCGGTGGTACACTTATGAATTCATTATATCACATAAGGTAGAATATATTGGAGCGCGGTACACTACTGGCATTCGTGAACATTTTTAGTGACAGCAGGGTTAGCTGAACGTTTTGATATAAGATATGTGTAGGTGGGCTTGAAAATGAAAGAGTGATGGCAGTTTACAAATCATGTTCTGATTTTTTTTTCCTTCCACACTGTAGCTTTCTCACTTCTCACTCTAATGTGACTCAGCTGCCCCCTGAGTGACCTTTGGTTGCACCTGTGACTCAGTCAGTCACAGGTGTGTGAGAAGCTCTGCTCTAAACACACTGCTCAAACTTGCCAAATTCACTGGCGATTGCCATCTTCAAACGCTTGTAGTTTTAAAAGTATAAATGCTACCGTGAAAAGGTTTATATTGTGACAATCACAAGAAAGAAGACCTAAATTTTGATATATAGTATGTCTCTGCAATATTAAAAATGAAGGCACAGTCGCAGTTTAAAAACGTCCCTTAAAATTTCAGGTGTCTAAAGTGGAGTTTCAATGAAAGTCAATGGGAGGGGTGAGGTGCAAACAAATGGTCATATTCTGAAAACTATCAGGAGTATGTCCTAGCCGTGAACATTTTTAGTGACAGCAGGGTTAGCTGAACGTTTTTTGATATAAGATATGTGTAGGTGGGCTTGAAAATGACATAGTTATGGCAGTTTACAAATCATGTTCTGATTTTTCCTTTCACACTGCAGCTTTCTCACTCTAATGTGACTCAGCTGCCCCCTGAGTGACCTTTGCTTGCACCTGTTACCTCAGTCAGTCACAGGTGTGTGAGAAGCTCTGCTCTAAACAGGCTATTTAAACTTGCCAAGTTCACTGGCGATTGCCATTTTCAAACGCTTGTAGTTTTAAAAGTATAAATGCTACCGTGAAGGTTTATATATTGTGACAATCACAAGAAACAGACCTAAATTTTGATGTATAGTATGTCTCTGAAAGATAAAAAATGAAGGCACAGTCGCAGTTTAAAAACGTCCCTTAAAATTTCTTGTGTCTAAAGTGGAGTTTCAATGAAAGTCAATGGGAGGGGTGAGGTCCAAACAAATGGTCATATTGTGAAAACTATCAGGAGTATGTCCTAGCCGTGAACATTTTTAGTGACAGCAGGGTTAGCTGAACGTTTTGATATAAGATATGTGTAGGTGGGCTTGAAAATGGCAGAGTGATGGCAGTTTACAAATCATGTTCTGATTTTTCTGATTTTTCCTTTGCACACTCTAGCTGTGCTGCTGCTCTGCTGCTCAATGCATTCCTATGGGAAAAATTTCGCCGCAAAAACCGCGATATTTCTTGAACGATTCGGCGAAACGTTCCACAAAGTAATAGCAATCCGATCGGGAACAATCCGCACGTTTTGATATATTGTAGTGTAAAAACTGTGGGAGGAGTTAGCGTGGCAAATATGGCTATAATAAGAATAAGAATATATATGTGAGATAACAATAAGTGTTCCTTGCTATGCCTAGAACAAACACAGTACACTACTGGTAGTGACACTGGCACAAGCCATGCGAATGTCATC